GATTTAGTTCTTTTTCTCGATATTTCCAACTATACTTTGTGACTCCAATATAGTTTGGAAACAATGACTGCCAGGATTATAGTAAATGAAGGAAACAGTGGTTTTGTGTGTCGCAAACCATCAAATCGGGGTTTCTGGACGATATTGATGAAAAGTTCTAAAAATAGACCGTACGTAAGGTATAGGTACATATAAATATGAAAGTTAGTCATGGGTAATGTAAAGTAAATTATAAATTTAGGCTAATGCATGAGTTGTTTATTGGACTAAAAGATGTTGGCCAAATCCTTACAAAGTGCAAGTACAATCTCAATACTATATTGAAGTTTATACCTTACGCTATTACAAATTGATCACTATACTGACTGGCCTTATAAATCCCGTTTTAACTCTTTTAGAGAGTTTTCAAAGACAAGTAATTAATTTATCATAACAGAAAATACAAAAAAAATGTCGCACGAGATATTTTGGTTTGCAACAAGGCATAACTTACAACACTTATGGCCAATTGACCGAAAAATAATCTTCCCAGGCTAAGATGGTTTAAACCACACATTTATCACACGAGATGCTCTTAGAGGATTCTCCCGCCACTTTGTCATCCGGCGGTATTTGGCGGGAATGACAGTGGCAGAGATAACATTGTTATCAGCTAAAGTACCCCCCAGGCGGGCCGCTCAGCCTCTTTATAATCTTTATTTATAGACACCGCTTTTAACGGTGAGCCTGCGATGAGTGTAATGTCGGCTACTTTAAAACTTTAAAAAATTCTTTATTTTTTTACAAACAAATAAAATTTGTCGAAGTAAAAGATTTCGAAAATACCACCTTCTAGGTAATTTTCTAGTGTTGATTTCTTATGTGTCTGTAGAAGTATTGTCATATTGACCCTTTATATTTTTTTCGAGCAGAATTCCAACAATTACGATTAGTACTTCAAACTTTTTCAGTACCAACTTTTAACAGAATGACAAAGATTAGCCATTTAGATGAACCAATTATCTATATTCCAATGATGTTCACTAAGAAATCTAAATATAAATAAAAAGAAAATTGAGCGTAATTTATGGAATGCTGAATAAAACTAAAGGTATTCCTGACACCTAACATGTTCAAAGATACAAATTGGAATTTTTCCCTAATTTACACTCTCCACACAAAATATTATTGCATTCACCAATTCGACATTGCATTGTAAGGTAAAACGCACTCAACAAGACAAAAGCGTTCAAAACACTATAATCCCAAACAGACTCCTAATCGTCGAAAATTAAATTGAAACCCAAGGTTGGAAACCAAAGCCGCAGGGCCGACCGCAATTAAACAAACAGGTATAAATTGTCAATTACAGCCCAGACGGGAAAAACTAATGACACAAAATGCACACTTAGCAACGCTGTGAATTCATTAAAAAAGGGTCGCAGGGTAAAATCACATTTTAAACGGATTAATGGGTCCGGCCCGGTAATCTAGGGACGGAAGATCGTCTGGTGTGCGTTTGTACGGCAATTACATCGGTAGCGTAGATCGCCGTTTTGTCAAATACTGTAATCTAGGAATCGTGAGCGTTTAAACCATTAGTTTAGGAATCTGGCGGACAAAAAAATAAATTCCCGGTCCAACCCCCTCGGAATGGTCACGTGGTCTTGTGGCAAGATGGCGGCCGGCAGAGGTTCAGTACGCGTTCGGATGTCGTCATGGAACCACTGCCGCTGTTTCTCTATCGGGTATGTTGGCAACCATGGTTACGTTTAGTGCAACAATGGTTATGTTGTGTTTACCATACTGTCATTGTTTAGTTTAATTGTTGTGTAATGTTTTCGAAAATAATTATAAGGTTTAATGTTATTTTCGAGTTAATTATCAATTAAACCTAATTGATAATGTAGTATTAGTTTGACTAGGCATTTACTTTAATTTTTGCGGAAGGTTATTTGGATAGGCTATTTACTATCTTAGTAAATAACAATGAGATGTTCGAAAATTTTGGCTTCATTCATGGGTTTTTAATGTAGAATGTATTTCTTGACTCTGTGGAATATTTTAACTCAGCAACTTCAAATTAATCAATACATCAGTGTTCATAATGTTTTACTGTAGTTTTGTATTCAATTGATAGGTCAGTAAGTTTGGACTTGAGATTGCCTTTTATTGGGCGTTAAGATTTTTATCTAAATATATCATCATATAATTGGTATGGATAATGAATTGTTTAATGTCTATACTGTACAACTCTTTCACTTGGCTTTACTGATTTATGTATTCCACTCCACGATATACAATTTGTTGTGCTTCTTAATATTTTAATAATCGTTAATATTATTTGTAATGAAATATATCTGACGTAATAACACTACTGTAGTAATACGAAGAGGTTAAACATATAATATTACTTTCATAATTAAAAGCTACTAATGTATATAAACAACTGTTATGTCATACAGGTATTGCTTTAATTATTTCTTGTATAGATATTTTTGAGAATTTATTGATGAGCTAAGGTGTAATAGTCGAAAATAATTTAAAAATGTATAATAGCCTATAAGGAGTTATTTTCTTTTCGATAGGTTTGTGCTAACACATTTTTTGTGTGCAAATACTGTTTTCATTAATGAGGTTTTGCATTGCGTTATATCAGTGAAATGGTTGTACTGATACACATTTAGTGCAAGGGGATTTGTCGTGTTTTTTTCTCTCTAAAAAATCTGAAGCTTTGTTTTGACTGTTTCGTGTTGCCCGAAGTGCGTTGGTTGATAACGACTACGCATTAAGCTACAATATATACTTTATTCTTCGGAGATAATACTAGATAAAAAGTAACAGTGTACACATATTGATCAATTTCATCTAAAAGTAATAAAATGTAAGTAAATTAGCCTATAAATAAAAATAAGACCAAAACGCTGTCGGATATGAATATACTTTAAAACATTTTTCCCACCTAAAATAATGATAAATCTAGTCTACTTAAAAAAATCGGTTGTATGAAAACATTTAGTTTTACGTGGATATAGAATATTAACGTTTAAAACTCCTAGCTTGGTAGATTTAAATGCAGCATCAATACACATTTATACAATGCATCGTACTGTAAATGAATTACTATGAATTATATGAAGTACATAGATGTATTTATACATTGATATGATTGAATACAATATTAAACAATACACGATACTCACTTTTCTACTATCTTCAGAAGATTCGAAGTCAATACTGTTATTAGTTTCTCTCCTCAAAAATAACTATAATTATCATATGATCATGATGTACTGTGCATAACCGTACTATCTGTACTATTGTATTAAAAACCTAAATATATCATTAAGTGTTACTTTGCTAATACATCTAAATTTAAAAGGCATATGTTTAATTTTATTTTGTTAAAACATAATATTTAAATTAAGTCAAGATTGTTTTGTTGATAATTAATTTTGTTACGCTCGTGATATACGCATTTATCACCCACGTGATATCAAATAATTGAATCGCGTATATCGACGAAGAAAATCTGAGATAAATTAAATTGAGCTTTGTTTATGTTATTTGTATTGTAGGATGAAATTTCTTCGAGTTCCCTTGTGTTTTATAACACGATATAATATTTAAACAAATTATATAAAAGTATAATTTTTGTTAAAATCGGTTTTATGAAATCCATACGAGTTGAGTATTCCTCATTCAAGTCGTTGGGGTAAAGGTCTGGGAAGATAACTTCATGAAGATAACGTGGTCGTAACTACTTTATACTGTTGAGGGAAATAATATAGATAATTAATGTTATTAATTTGTAAGAGTTGTTGTTTAAGAAATAAAACTTGGAAAAATCAATTTTGTATCACTGATAAATAATTAACGACTCATTCAACTAAGAGTAGTGTAATCACTTTGATTTTAAAATTTTCCTCGACATTAATAAAACAATTTTTAACTTTTAAATAGTAATTTGTCAAGCTTTTCATTATCTATGTACACTGATACATACGTGCAGTGTCTTGCTATGTATTTATACAACAACGGTTCTTAATATTAAATCTATTAACCTATATTAGTCTTCATTCCTTTTTAACCTACATTATTTGCTTACAATATCATAGACTAAGTTGAATCACCGTACTGATAAACAAATCGTAAAACAATTGTGACTCCCTTACTATTCCTAATTACTCATATTACACGTTTCAATATAAGGTACAAGTATAAGCAAAATTTATATGCATCATGTATGTATTTATAGTTATTAAATTTATGCTAATGTGTATTTAGTTCTTTGCTTAACAAATTCAATTCATCAAAAAAACAGTTACTCATATGTTTAGCCATGTGTGTAATAAAATAATTTACAGTTCAACCCTATAAATGACAAGTTAAACTAAAGAAAAGGAAATTAAATTATTGATTGCACAGAAAACTTATTTAGTTTCCACAATCACCTGGTTAAGTCAGAAATCATCTTTCAATTCTAAAATTATTGTTTTTATTTTGTGTTTTTTTTAATTCTGTCACAAAAAATATCACATTTTACAATGTAATATCGCGTGATTGATTAAAATGTGAAGCTCTTATAAAAGGATGTATTACCTATTAATTTTAAATTAAAGTTGTTAAAACAATCTGTAACAATATTAGTGGGAAATTAACTCATTACTATAAACTAAAAATATCCCCTAGTTCCATACATTTTTCTATGTCATGGAACGTTTGCCTCTTCACAGCCAACAATATTTTTAAACAATACCAATTATGCAAAAGTATCTTAGGTGTTTCAGCACAATTAATTTCGTGCTTACCAACTGGTATTTTTTTATTAAAATGATTTTTTATTAATTGATGTATAACAAATATTGGATTAGACCCCGCTTTGACGCACAGGTCAGACCCTTGCTGGATTTTTCTAATTTATGATGTTAATGTGTTGGGACCTCCAGTTTTGCTTTATTAATTAATATTGATTATTTTAGTTTTGCTTCTCGTCTAATCGTGGTGTTGTGTTGTTGCAGGAGCCTCACGGCGCTGTCCTAGACCGCTGGAACATCTGCAGTCCTGAGGAGGAACCTCTAGTTCTGCAACAGTTCCTCAGGTTCGGCGAGACAAGGGCGATCACCCAGCAGCTGCTACTCCACAGCTCTGGACTGCCCAGGATAGAGTCAGACATCAAGAAGTTCATAGAGCGAGCAGCAGGAAGACCTTTCCCAACGAAGGAGGACGACAGGAACTCCAGGATATCCATCAAACCTATCCAGCAACTCCAGCAGCCTCCTAGGAGAGGGTTGTCTCCGCCTGGACAGAATCATCCGATGGGTCACCAGATAGGTGCTAGACCACCACCGCCACCGGTTTCGCCACAGAAGCCTATGAACTTTCTGAAGCTTCCGCCTACTGGGTTGACTTGTACACCGGCGACCACTAGTAATGGACCTGTGACGTCATCTCCCCCCAGCAGTATCAGCAGCAGTCCTCTCAGTGTGTCCCCGCTCAATAGACTCCAGAGTATGCAGCCCTTTGATTTCCGGAAGATCGCTTCAGGTGCGTCGTCCATGCCCATGAAGAACAGTCCTGAAAGAAGAAGAGCTTCGGAGAATTCAGAGCCTAGTCCTCCTGGGTTGATGAATCTTTGTGTGACGAGTCCTAACCCTGTTTGTCCTCCCCCTCCACCACCTCCCATCCCGGCCACGAGCACTGCCATGTCTATATACCAGCCCCATCGGTCTCCATCCATCGATCGCCCGGGAAGCAGTGAGTTTGGATCGGACGATGATGACGACGATGAAGAAAACTCTCACTCCGCTCTTAACTTAAGCCGAGACGCTGCCCCCAGGATGCCCAGGCCACACAGACCTCAGCATATGAGAAAGACCGCCACGCCCATGAAACGACAGTGGGGCTCTACGCCTCTACCTTTGAATTTGGGGACTCAACTAATAAACCCTGCCACAGGGAAGAAGAGAGTACAGTGCAATGTATGTCTGAAAACCTTCTGTGACAAAGGTGCCCTGAAAATCCACTTTTCAGCTGTACATCTACGAGAAATGCACAAATGCACTGTGGAGGGCTGCAACATGATGTTCAGCTCCAGAAGGTCAAGGAATAGGCATAGTGCGAACCCCAATCCGAAACTGCATTCGCCGCATTTGAGAAGGAAGATCTCTCCTCACGACGGTAGAAGCGCTCAATCACATCCTATCCTCATACCTCCCATTCCACCAGGAGCTTTAAACCCCCTTACCTTCGGAACATTTCCCCTGCTTCCCCCGACTCCGGACATGAGGCATCAGCAAGCTGTTCTCGACTTGAAACAGAGTTTAGACCTGAGTCTTCACAGGCAAGAGGAACAGAGAAGGTACGAGAACTCCTCTTCTGACCATATGGACGACTACATGATGGACGATGACGATGAAGAAGGCATTGTGGTCGTGGGAAACGGTGACGATGATGACGACGGAGACTCTGAAACGCAAAACGGAGACAAACATTATGAAGAAAAATCAAAAAGGTTCAAGCTATCTGAGTCAGACATGGACATGGACGAAGACGTTAGCAACATGGACAGCAACGAAGATTCTTTAAGTGTAGTCGATTCACAAAGTGTCAAAGAGGAAAACACAGAAACCCCAGGTGAAAATACTGCAACGCATGCAAAAGCTGTAAGAAAAAGAAAGAACCAAAATCCTACTAAATGTGCTGTAGCTTCTAGAATCGCTGATGAAGATGGTATGACTGACGAGGAATACTCAAACGATGTTTTTCAGGCAGGAAAAAAGGAAGACATTAACAGGTTGCAGCAAGGCGGTGATGAAAAAAACTTCGAAAGTAGTGATCAGCCACAAGACTTATCAGAAAAGGAACCCACAGAAGATAAACCAATAACAGTTGCTGAAAGGAAGAGTCCTGCTCAATCTGAAGCCCACAACGCAGAAAAAGAGGTAGAAGAAGAGCCTTCAAAAAACGATTTATTAAAAAATTCTGAAAACAACGACCGCAGTCGGAGAAATAGTCCAGACAACATAAGAGGTGATAATGAACTGAATGGCAACGAAAATAACAACATCCCTATTCAAGATTTAAAGCACGATAAGTCGGAAGAGCTTTCTAAATCCCCAAATTTAAGAAAACCAGAAGATCAACTCGATTCTTCAAATGCTCTACGTCAGCTTGAAAACCTCTCACAGGGAAACTTTGGGGAAATCAACACAACTAGACAGCACGATTCGTTCCCTTTGAATTTCATGATGAATCAGGACCCTCCAAGTCCAGCAAGATCACACTCGTCCTCCGGAAGTTCTGGGGACTGCGCTTCAGAAGACAACGGAGACGGAGTCTACGGCCACTTCCAAGACGGGACTTTCATCAGTACCATGGACGTTCCCATAGACAAGGACAACCCCCGTATGTGCACAGCTTGCGGTAAAATGTTCCAGAACCATTTCGGAGTCAAAACGCACTACCAGAACGTCCATTTAAAACTGATGCACAAATGCACCGTGGAAGGATGCAACGCAGCTTTCCCTTCGAAAAGAAGTAGAGATAGACACAGTGCGAATCTCAACCTTCACAGAAAACTGCTATCCACATCTTTAACTGATAAAGGGTCTTTGTTCCTAGAAAACTCACCGTTCTCTTCTCTCGCCGCTAATACAGCGCTTCACAACGAATTCCTCTCTCGTTTCTATGGGGATCCGCAGTCGATGCCTCTCCCACCACATCTTCCTCCCCCGGGAATGATGAATGGGGATCGACTTCCTACACATCCTCCTATGTTCCTACCTCCCTTAGGAGGTCTCCCCGGGTTTCCCGGGATGAACAACTTCTCCCACCTCTCACAACCTCTTCACAACGTCAACGGCCACTCCTCCGGGTCAGCGTCACCAGCCTCCCCGGCGTCTTCTCCGACATCACACAACGACGACGAGCTTCCTCCGCCGGACAGAGACGGCCTCCTCCCCTGCCGCTTCTGCCACCAACCCCTGTCCGACGCCACCGCTCTCTATGAGCACTACGAGCAACTTCACGCGTCGGAGATGTTCCGGTGTTCCCACTCCGGGTGTTCCAGGATGTTCACTTCCAGGAGGAAGAGGGATTCCCACTCAGAGACGGACCATCAGGCTGCCTCGTCGTGACCTCCCCCTCTACATCACCCCCCACCCCTCTGGTGGTAGTGCCAATCCTTCGCTATAGTGACGTGGTGGTCGATGAAGACCGATAATTCTGTGAATGGTGTTGGAAATTTTCTATTTAATCAGTACGCTTCATAGAAATGCAATCGATTAATAAATTAACTAGCTAATTAAATCCAGTTACATTCATAAAATTAGAGTGCTATCGTATTTTTTGAAGGACCCAGTATACTGTATGATAATTATTTTCTAAATTTATACAGAACTGTAATAACAAAAGTAAAAAAATATTCTGCAGATGAAAGTGTTAAACGTTTGAAGATGCAATAGAGTCTATCGACCATCCCGTCCTGTTCGCCTCAGTTCCTTCGTGTATTTATTGTTAGTCTACGTATCATAATCAAAATCGTTATTAGATAGTCGCTTCTCAGTGATCGTATTGTCACCAAATTTTGTAATAATTGTAAAATACTCGCGTGTATAAAACTGACGAGTTCCCTTTTGTATCGCTAGTGCAATAATTCGAGCGTCAGACTCGAGTCCATTGCGTAGTGAGTGTTTTGGACGATGTAGCATATGTGTTTGTATACGAATAGTGTAGTTGGATTGTACTTAAACCACCGTGACACCCAGTGCGATTCACTGAGTATTCGATATGAATTCGATTAATCGAATGAGTACCCGGTGTAGCCGATTACTCAGTGAATCGCACACTCCTTCCTTACATCGGTTCTACTGTGATTAAATTGTGTATATTTACCGTTTACTATTAGTTGTATGTTTTTACTTCGATAAGGTATTCGTAATGGAGATTCTCCTCAACTCCATGAGAAGGCCGCTGAATGTAGTTTGTATAGCTTTGGACCTGTTTCGGCTGTCTTCTCATGGACAAACGGTTTTCATCTGTAACTATTGTATGATTGTGATTTTTATCTGAACAAGTTAATTAGTAAATATTGCTGTAAATGTTGACTTTCTATGTGTATATGATATTATTTAACTACAGCCACTGTATGAAAAAAGCTAATTAATTATACGTTGGCTGTTTAACTTTACTGTTCATTCAGGGCTTTAACTTCAGCTTTCTTGTAACATTTTACTCAACTGTTTTTGTTTGTTTGTTTTTTTGGTCCATTTGAAATGGGCATTCGAATACTTAAAAAATGTTTTTTTTGTAAATTGGATAATTTATTGAAGGAAAAGTTTCTTAAACATATTAAATTATGCCTACATATTGTGTTTTGATCTAAAATATTGCTTTATACATTTTCGGTAAAAACTATTTCAAATTTGATATTGTATATAAGGTATTAAACATAAATCTATGTACAATAAATGTTTGTTGAATTTGGTACAAGTTAATTTTTATGATGTTGGCAACACTTGATTGAAATCTTCATTGCTTTATCCTAAATGTAAATTATAGTTTACAACTCCTGTGAGTAGCTTGACATAAAACTATTTTTACCAATTTTACTTTTTAAATTGACGACTCTAAAAATGTATTACTAGTCTATACAAAAACTTATTGTAACTTAATAACGATTTCATGCATTGTAAAAAAGAAAGAGTGAGAGAGTGAATGGTGTATTTTGTTTCTATGATCTCCAATGTGTAATTGTAATCAAAAACGACCCATTGTCGTGCGTACCTCGATATGTATAAAGAATCGTGTACTTTTGTTATATATAAGCGTACTGTATGTATTATAGTCAGTGTAGGTGGCGATCCCACCAATAAATAAAAATGATCATGGTTAAAACTGTGTTTACCTTTCCAACTCCTGATCAATTCTGAATTCTTTGGTAGTAAGGATGTCAATAACAGTAATAAAGTGTAGCAAGGTAGGCATCATTTTGTGTTTTTGCAAGTTATTGAATTCAGTATATTTTTTATTCTTATGTGCATTTAGTAACAGAAAATTTTATGTTTTTTAACAAAATTGTTCCTTACTTTGAGCTACTATAATTTACGGAAAGAACTTATGAATAATTATATTTTTTTGTACTGAACTTGTAAGTGTGAAACTCTGCATTGTATAAACAATATTTTAATTTGTCTACTTTGGTTTTTAAATATGCAAATTGTCTGACAGATTAATTGAAAAAAATCCTCAAACAGAATTCTTTAATATTTGAATCAGTTTTCCGATCAAGCATAAATGTTTTAAACAGATATATACTACTAGCAAACAAACTTTAAAAATACTATTATTCACGTTGAAATTATGCATTGAACCATACGAATCAAAGGAAAATGCCACCAACTTATTAAACGATCAAATCCACCACAGCTCCAATTTGATTTTCCTACCACTGCATGGAAATGGTCACATTGCCACACTTGTAAACAGTACGAAAAGTAGCTCATTTCCGCTATGTTGGGAATGACCATTCCCACTCGCTAAATCACTAAATCAGCTGATTTCATTGTTGGCATTTCTATACGAATAACATAAAATGACATTTTATATACAACTAAAAAGTGGATCTCTGTGTTATGATGTGTTAATTATGGTGGTAGGAAAAATCTTGTGTGTATTACGTGCACAAACAGTCAACGTTCTAGCTAGTTGTAGCTCGGATGTCACTACGTGTGCGTGTGTTCATATCAGTGCGTACAGTTTGTAAATGTTTACCAGTTTGTATACATGTTCGTGTCATGTGGATTGTGTATAGTTTCAAACCTACGACGTCCAATGGACTGACATTTTACAGCCCAACACTATGTGCTGAATTCTGAATTGCCAGAAGACGTCTACAATTGAGGTGGATGACAGGAGGTATTTAAACCCACATGTGCACAGCACATGGTATTTTAATTGATTAGTGCAATAAATTAACTACTGTGGCATTATAACTGAAAGGTTATATATCTAAATCGTGTGCGGATCATGGATGGAGAAATGTAGATATCTGGTCGCAGCAAAACCTGCAGGTTAAGAAAAGATAGATTGACTTAATTGATTTTTTTTTTATACAGGAATAAGAAAAAGAAATTGTGCCTATTTTTAGACCCATAGCCGCGTCTGATAGACTCAATGTGTCATGTGTATTTAGGTTTATCACTAGTAAAAAGCACAATGGCTTTTAATTTTGATCACTATAAAAAGCCTGCAATTAAATCAACAATGTTTCCAATAGTCTAAAGGAATGTCCATAAACATGGAATACACACAAAAATATTCTCAATTAGGCTAATATAACAAGAAGACCACTATGTTTATTATTTTTGTATCTCAGTAACCAATAGACATAGAGTAAATTTAGTTGCTACCATATGCTCACTTCGTTTAGCATATTTAGTTGTTCACTTTGGAAATAGCTCATTCTCTATAGGGAAATTCGTAGATAGACTAGTACCTTGACCTTTTTAGGCAAGACGATTCTAGGAATCCAGAAAAATTCTTGGAACTCTCAACAGTCATTAAATTTAATGCATCGGAGTTGTCTCCACTTTACAGAGCTCTTAAGTTTATAGTCTTTCTGATGTCGCCAAGGGTACGTTTTTGGTAATTAAGTTTTTATTACCTCTTAATCATTTCAGATTGAAATATAGCTCTGGAATAACATTGTGACTCCAGAGGCTAATATTTCCAGTTCATTCATTTGAATTTAGTTGACAGGCATTTGAAACAACTAAAAATAAGTGATCAGCGGTCTCTGGATCCACCAAATTACGTTAAAGAGTTTATAAATGTATTATTAGGTCAAATAGGTCAAAAGGCTAATAATAAAGTCTACCACCCTAAGTAGTAGAGAGGACTTGCTAGTCCTTACTTCGCCTCTCAAATTAAGACATTTTTCATTTCAATTTCATTTCGTTAGGAGCAATGCATGTCTGGAACATTCCTACGACTAAATGCGATTCTGTAATGTCACTGATATTACAACAGAAACTGTAGCTCAAAATTTTCAAATAGGAAGTATTGTTGAGTTTGGTACATTTTATAGGTCTTTATGAAACCAAACAATTAACATAAAGGAAATAGAAATTGGACCAATAATAACATAATGGCAATACAAAATTACTTTTAATAACCAGTGTCTTAATAATTTTTAGTTGCCATTTTTTTAATTGGGGTCTGATTTTGATTTTCATTATGTCAATTGTTTGGTTTTGTCAAGACCTGCAAAATGACACCAAATTCAACTATACGTCCCATTTGAAAGTTTTTAGCTAGTCCCTAACCGCACTACCCCCTAAGGAAAACTTTCCAAATCAACCATAATAATTGTTGTAGCCCCTCATATCTATGATGGTTGCCGTAAACTGATTTCAAATATCTCAAATGGTTAAAAAGTTAAGGGGGCGCAAGTTACTATTCAGCCACCCTGTATAATTAAGAGAAAGTTTAACATAACACATTTTCAATTAAAAACTCGAGATAACGAAAACCTAATGGAAGCAGATGCAGTATAAACAAAATTACAACAATTTATTAATAAAATTACATGACCATATGATAAACAAATAAGGCAGGCAAGGCAGATATGTAAGTTAGACATAACACCAGCAATACCTGGTCAACTCTAGCAATAATGCACCATCAACTTTGTTGGGCTAAACCTCGAAATGTCTTTCTACATCGATCAAATGAAGTAATAAGAAAGATGTTATGGGTGAAAATTATGAAGGGTCAAAGCCCATGGGACGAGAATTAACTACGTTGGGGTTGAATGACATATGGGGTGATCCATAACTGAGCCAGATATAGAGACAGAGCGGGGATCTTAGCGGTTCATAGAGTAAATTGATGTACTGAAATATCAATAAATAAAAATAAATATTTTAAATAAAGTTAATTGATGGTAAAATAAATTTGTGGTGGTTCTTAATTGTTTAGTGACAATTTTATGAATTATATCACCTGAAATATGTTAATAATATCACTCTAGTAAAATCCATAAAGTCAATTATTTAAGATTTTTCCCACCACCCACCACCTTATTGACCATTTAAAAGCTTTTCACAACTGTTTCTAAAATATCTAAGCAACAAACAGTACTGTACCCCCATTTTAGGTTTTGGAATTTTAAATCACGTTTTTGGGTTTGATATTACCTTGAACCTCCACTAAACATATTTGATGAGCAGTTTATTAATTTTATTTTCCAAGTGTTTTGCGTCCATATTTCACTATGTATTTTTTTTACAATACAATTAGATATTTACCTACCATTTATTTATTGGACAGTTACTGAATTTATATTTTTTATGTGCAAAATCGAAGTCTATTGTTACCCCCCCCCCCCCCCCCTATAGGAAAAATACCAAATAACAGTTTTTGGATAGTTATCATAACAATAAAACGTGATAAGCATCTAAAAAAATCAAAACATTAACAAACAATCACACATGCTCTTTTCAGAGTGGTTGACCTAATGTTAATTTATTTAGCAAAATTAAAGTATTTATTGACCACAAGATGGTATAATCAGAGATATCAGATTAGATATAATTGATAACAGTCCAGTAAGGTCAGAAGAGGGGTGATATCAAGTTATGGATAGCCACCATAGATCATCAAGGTCCCTGGGGCACAAATATGTCTTATTCTGTCCCCCAACTTTATCAGGATATATGGAAACTTTTGTCCTTGCGTGGTCATTTTTCATAACGCGGTTAGTGATGGAGTATTTGATGAGTTTGTCAATCTGGGTTAATTGAGATATAACATAACTAATTCAGTAGCAAGAATAAAAAATTAAAAGCAACAAAATTGAGTTTATGTAGTGACAGCTGGTTTATTGATTTTATTTAACTTGCTAACACATGTTATAATATTATTGGTTTGTATTTCAGTTTCCTATTTACTCATATAAAAGGTAGTTGTACATTTTGTCTTGTGAATTATTATTTTGCATCGCCACCGTTTAGTTGTGGTGAGTGTACCAAAAGACTGTTCAAAACCAGCTGGACTCAATGATTTGTTGTCAATAGGAGCTCGTCGTTGTCGAGAGCTCGTCCAGTGGTCGAGAACTCGACCGAAATAATGTATTGTGCAAACTTCTCTATTTTCAACCCACGCTGTAAATAAAACATGTGATTGGAATATCTTAAATTTGTTTTAATTTTCACCAAAATAGCAATCCATAAGGCCCATGTTAATTTAAAAAGAATTTAAATTCAGTTTTTTACTTATTTTTGAGCCTATTTTAATTTATAAAGGGATTCTGCACATCTACAGGTAAATATCTTTCATTTGGTACCAACTGCGTGTAATTCGGGCAGGCTAGCTGTCATAAGTTTTGCAAAAGTCTTTTAGTATATAAGATCTGTCTTTTGTTTTCAATGTCCCATAATTACATTGTTAAATGGGTATTTTTTAATTTCCATACACTTTTTCTCTTAATTCCTTTTAATTATTTGATCTCAAAAGTTACACGCAAAATTAACTTACATCTTCATTAGTATTGTTATTGCTAACTCATCTTCATAAGTTTTTGTATTTGAAAATGAATCAGATTTTGAGGCTATAGTTTAGTTAAACAATTAATACTCATAAATAATAGAACACACGAAGTGCTATTCTATAGGCCTAATTCTATAATAGGCCTAAATCAAATGGGTTAATTCAATTACTATTATATTACTGTACAACACTTGGAAACCAACCAACATTATTCAAATAGTTATTCAATCCTCCACCTGTATAGTTTTTGATAGTAACCAATAATCTATGTATTATCATCCTATATAGTATGAGAAAACATTTCTTTGCTTGATATTCATTCTGAAACAATAACA